GGCCGAGGTGAGGGTGGGAGAGGTGGGAGTGGGAGAGGCCGAGGTGGGGGTGAGAGAGGCCAAGGTGGGGGCAGGAGAGGCGGCCATCCCCAGCACCCTCCTGCTCTGCACCTGAGGATCCGCCAGGCCCTGCACCTTGGGGGCCCTGGGCTCCATCCATGACACTTGGTGCTCGGCCGGGGGCTGATTCCTGAGCTCTGGCCCTGGGGATTCCCCTTCTTGATACACGTTTTCTTCTCTCCTGACTGCACAACCCCACACAAGTCAGGGCATTCTGAGTTGTGACGGAAAAGGCAACACAAAGTGGTTGAAGCCAAGGGAGAATTTAGTGACTCACATAACCAGGAAGTCCTGGAGTGGGCGGCTTCGGTCTAGCTGGATCCAGGGGCTCAAAGGACATCATGGGGGCCTTGCTTCTGTCTCCCTCCCACCTTCACTCTTGGGGTCGGCTCCACTCTCAGACCAGGTCACCCTTCCCGCACGATGCCCACAGGGGCCCAGTTCCTATCCTCCCAGGAAACGCTCTCCCCGGGAGCATCCGGGAGGAACCCCCCTGCCCACACCTTGATCTGGGCCTCATGAGCACCTTTCAGAGGCCTCCCCCTTCGAGGTGTCCCACGCACCATGTTCTCTGCTGGGAACTGTTTCCTTCATGACACTCACGTGAGCAGCTCCCTGTGCACTGGGCGATGTTCCAGCCACGGGGGTCAGCAGTGAAGGGACAGAGTCCCTGGGGCTCATGGTGTAGTGCGGGCAGCACTAAACCAGTGAAAGCCACCATCGGTCCCGTGGGCACCAGCGTGGGGCAAGGTGGCCTGGTGCCACCCTGAGGGGCCCGGCCACGCCCATCTGAGAAGGCACGAGCGGAGGCTGCCAGCAAGGAGAGAACACGGGCAGAGGCCCCGAGGCAGGAGCCGTTCTGAGGCCGGCATGCAGGGTGGGCAGGGGTGGAGAGAGTGCCCAGAGGTGGTGATGGGGGGGGGTCCCAAGACTCAGGCCGCGTTGGGAGTCAGCATGTGCTTCTGAGGATGCCTGTCTATCGGTGCAGGCCACAGGGCGCTGTCCAGCCCGGCAGGAGCATGCTCTCAGGAGGGAACCTGCGTTGTGTGACTCACAACCTCCCAGACCCGCCTTAGGAACGAAATTCAGACCTCCAAACTGACCAGGACACGGGAAGGGTGGGAGTGGGCCAGAGTGGACTGTAGGAGGCCAGAGTGGACTGTAGGAGGCCGGGGTGGGCCACAGGAGGCCAGAGTGGGCCAGAGTGGACTGTAGGAGGCCAGAGTGGACTGTAGGAGGCCGGGGTGGGCCACACGAGGCAGGAGTGGGCCGCAGGAGGCCGGAGTGGGCCGCAGGAGGCCGGAGTGGGCCGCAGGAGGCCGGAGTGGGCCGCGGGAGGCCGGAGTGGGCCGCAGGAGGCAGGAGTGGGCCGCGGGAGGCCGGAGTGGGCCGGAGTGGACTGCAGGAGGCCGGAGTGGGCCGCAGGAGGCAGGAGTGAGCCGCAGGAGGCCAAAGTGGGCCAGAGTGGACTGCAGGAGGCCGGAGTGTGCCAGAGTGGGCCGCAGGAGGCCGGAGTGTGCCAGAGTGGACTGCAGGAGGCCGGGGTGGGCCGCAGGAGGCCGGAGTGTGCCAGAGTGGACTGCAGGAGGCCGGAGTGGGCCGCAGGAGGCCGGGGTGGGCCACAGGAGGCAGAAGTGGGTCAGAATGGACTGCAGGAGGCCGGAGTGGGCCACGGGAGGCCGGAGTGGGCCCTTCCTTGTGTCGCCTGCACGGTGGGCTGCTCTTCTCACCTACGGTCCTGACGCGGGGGGTTGCAGCCACCTGTCACTGGGACACCATCTCCCTTCCTGCAGCTGCCATAAATGAACCACCACGGACTGGGTGGTTTAAAACCACACACTTACCCTCTCACAGCCTGAAGTCCCAGAGGGCCTCCTAGGGCTGACGTGGAGGTGTGGGAGGCCGGGTTCCTCTGCAGGCTGTGGGAGGGTCCCACCCTTGAATCTTCCAGCATCTGGAGGGTGCCGAGCCTCCCACAAGGATGCTTGTGAACAAGTCCAGGGCTGCCTGGACCACAGAGGGCTCCATCACCATCTCAAGATCCTCAGCTCAACCACATCCACCAAGTCTCCTTGCCACGGAAGGTGCCACATCACAGGCTCCCAGGACCGGGCACGGAGCTCCCAGAGCCCAAGGCTGGTCCCCACGGCCTCAGAATCCTCCCTCAATGCCCTGAACAGACGGCTGAGGGGTCAGGACTGCACCTCCAGCTGCGGCCGTCAGCTCTGCCTCACTCCCCAAACAGCCGGGAACAAGTCCTGTGGGAAACACTCCCCTGCTGCCCCGAGGTGAGGCCCCATGCCGGACAGGTACAGGCCACCGTCGCCTCTCCCTGGGCCCTGTAGCAGCCTCCTCAGCCCCTCAGCACTTCTACTTTTGGCCCCCGGCCCACGGTCCACAGAGCAGTGCAGAAACCCTTCTAAATACAAGTCAGATGTCGGCAGTCTCGCCCCAAACTCAGACTGGAGAAATGAGGAAAGGGCTCCAAGGGCCGTCCCGGGAGGTTGTGTGGGCTGCACACTCCATGATGCTGGGAAGCACACGGGGGAAAGAGGGAACTGGGGAGATCAGCTTGGCCCCTCGCCCCACCCCTGACCTTGCCGGAGGATTGAACTCCGCAGGGGCAGCCCCTCCAGGGTCGCCAGCGGCCCTCACAGAGCCTCTGGGAGAGCCACAGGGATGCCTGGGCTGCCGTGGCACCTCCACCTCACGCACCCCAGGACACATGCCCGTGTCTCGCTGTGCTCCGAAGCTCACACTTGCCGAGTGTGGCAGCAGGGGGGCACCTTCCAGACCTTTCTCCGCACTTTCAGACGCTCCCAGGGACCCTCAGGAAAGGCACAGCACCGTCCGGCTGGGCTCCTCCCTCTCACACGAGCGAGCGGCTGCAGCCCTCCTGCTGCATGGCCTCTTCCCTCCGCGACATCACCTCCCGAGTGACCTCACGCCTTTGCCGCAGCAGCGTGTGCACTGAGGATGCTGCCGCGCCAGCCTTTCCGTAAGGAAGGCCACAGGGAGTGTTTCTAATGTTCCATCACAGACAGGGCTCTGGGGCCGCTGCTCTCTTCGGGGTTTTCCAGTGAAACTCCCAGCTCTCAGCTGGGAGTGTCCCGTGTCCTGCAGGAAAGACACTGGCTTCAGGGGCCAGCCTCCCCGGAGCTGCTGCGTCCAACACGCTGGTCGGCTTCTGTGGGTGAGGTTTGGGTTTGTGGGATCTTCGAAGGGCTGATTATGCATTCAGGAAAGAGAAACTTCCAGACCATCCACAAGGCCCCAGGCCCCTGTCATTTCCTCCTGGTGGCCCTGCCACCCTGGCCCTGGGGCATGGTGCATGTCCGGGGTGGCTGTCCATACCCTGTGTGCCCCAGGCTCCCCTGCAGCTGGGGTTCTAGGCAGCCCTGCCAAGTGGAAGGGAAGCCGTTCTGGCCTCCATGCCAGTGAGGTTGCACCCCCAGGGACCCAGCGGCCCCTCCCATCAGCAGCCCTGGCCCCTGCGCACTGTGGGCCTCCCTGAGGCTGTCCTGCTGGGCTCTCATCTGCATGGGGTAGAAGCTCCCCTTCTTGGGAGCACCCCATGGTCGTTTTCCAGGCTCCATAACAAAGTACAGCAGAAGGCTGGGTGCAGTAGTTCACGCCTGTAATCCTAACACTTTGGGAGGCAGGCGGATCACTTGAGATCAGGAGTTCGAGACCAGCCTGATCAACACGGTGAAACCCCGTCTCTACTAAAAATACAAAAATTAGCCGGGCTTGGTGGCAGGCGCCTGTAATCCCAGCTACTTGGGAGGCTGAGCCAGGAGAATTGTTTGAACCTGGGAGGTGGAGGTTGCAGTGAGCCAAGATCACACCACTGCACTCCAGCCTGAGTGACAGAGTAAGACTCTGTCTCGAAAAAGAAAAAAAAGAAAAGTACAGCTTAAAGCACAGAGACCCGATGTCCAGAATCAGTGTTAGCAGAGACACACTGCCTCGGGAGGCTCCAGGGGAGGACCCATGGCTTCTCCCGTTCCTGGTGGTTTTGGCCTTCCCGGCTGTGTGGATGCGTTGCTGCAGCCTCTGCTCCCATCCCACGTGCTGTCTCCCCTAGGCCTGTGTCTCTTTTCACAAGGGGACCGATGTTTGGATGTAGAGCCAAATCTGCGAACTTCATTTTAAGATTTGCAATTACATCTGCAAAGACTCAATTTCCAAACAGGGTTATGTTCTGGGGTTCTGAGGGTTGGGACTTCAGTGAGTGATACTGAGGACACAAGGTAACCCGTAACACAGCCTCCTCACTTCGTTCACCTGCAGCGCATCTGCGTTAGTCAGGGGTCTCCAGAGAGACAGAGCCAGCAGGACACGGAGAGAGACGTGCGCGGGGTCTGCTAGGGGAACCGGACGATGGAGGTTGGGAAGTCCCACAACAGGCCGTCTGAAGGCTGGGCAACGCCGATGCTGGTAGCGTGACTCAGCCCAAGTCAGAAGGCATCAGAACCCAGGGAGCTGAGGGTGCGACTCAGCCCCAGGCCACAGGCCTGAGACCCGGGAGCTGCCAGTGCAAGTCCTGGAGTCCAAAGGCTGGGGCGCCTGGAGTGCTGGTCGGAGGGCAGGAGAGGAAGCCCAAAGGCCGGGGCGCCTGGAGTGCTGGTCGGAGGGCAGGAGAGGAAGCCCAAAGGCCGGGGCGCCTGGAGTGCTGGTCGGAGGGCAGGAGAG